CCCCCCCCCCCGCCCCGCCCCCTGCTCTCCAGCGCCCCTTTAAGCCATCCAGCAGCCTAGGCGAGTTTATCCTGGGGGCCTGGCTTCGAGATCGAGGGGGAAGGCGGGGTAGGGGAGGTGGGGGATAGGGGGCGGCGGAGGAGGGCGGCGGGATCCCGCCCGGTCCCACCCCCAGCTACAACCCCGAGCAGGAAGGGCTTGTCTCCTGAGCAGCGGCGGAAAGAGACGACTGAGCTGGGAAGGCGGGCGCGGAGCGCTGGCGGGTGGGTTGCAGAGCCCGCAGCAGGGAGGCGGTGGCGGGGGGCGCGCCGCAGGGAAAGGGAGGCGTGGCTTAGGCTGCAGGGCTAGGTGGCTGGGGGGCCTCGGCGCTGCGATCGGTGACACTTGTCTCTCGCTTTCCAGGGCCAGGAGGGGCAGCCATGCTCTTGTCTGGGGGTAGACCCCCGGCGCAGGAATGGTTCATGGTGCAGTCAGAATCAAAATCTCGGGTGCAGCGGCAGCGGCTCCAGGTCCAGCGCATCTTCAGGGTCAAGGTGAATGCCTTCCAGAGCCGCCCCGACACCCCCTACTTCTGGCTGCGGCTGGAGGGGCCTCAGGAGAATACCGGCAAAGCCAAGGTAAACCGCTTCTCTTCAGATCCCCCTAACCCTTCTGGTCAACCCCTCTCCCTCACTCCTGGGGAGTCAGCGGTCCACAGAGGTCTTCAGCTTGGGTTCTGTCGTCGCTTGGCTGGCAGGTACTGGGCCTCCCTCCCTCCAGACCTGCTGCGCCAGCTCGGGCCCCGGGCTTTCTTCTTTCTCTTCTGCCCCACCCCTCTCTTGCCAGTCACGTCAGCCCCTTCTCGTGTCACTTCTGTCCTCCAAGGGTTCCGTCTGTCCTTTCAAGTGTGCTGGGAGAGCCTCTGTCCCGCGAACATCTCTTTCTGGAGCCCTCTCCGGCCAGGCCTCAGTGCTCAGAACCCTGATTTTTCCATCTTGGGATCATTTAAGGGCCTGCATTTTTGTGGCCTCTGCAACACGCGTCTTTGTTCTCCTCAAGACTCTGGAAGGCCCTCCATCCTTTCTGTCTGCGTAAATCCTAGGCGGCTTCTCTGGGTCCTGGGACTGGAGGAGGGCCCTAGAGACACTTTGAGAGCAGTGTCGGCATTTTCTAGATGAGACATTTGGGCTCAGAGAGGGTGAGGGCCTAAGTCCTCAGAGTCAGGTAGGAGGAGGTTGGTGGAGGTTGGATTAGAACCCAGGACCCTGCCCCATTTTCTTGCTGTGCTCAGCAACCTCTCACAGGGGTTCAGGGTGGAATGCATCTGTTTGGAAGGCACTGCCTTGGGATGCCAGGGAGTCTGGGAGGATTGTGGACTTTTGAGATGAAAGGGCCTGCTCTGTGTAGCTGGGTATTAGACAGGCCAGGGCACAGCTTGTAGTTCCTGTGCTCGGCTAGGCTTCTCTCACCAGCTTCTCTGCTTCGGCTCCTCCCTCTGCCTCCATCACACCCAAGGTCCCCCACTCCCTCAGATTCCCTTATCTTTTCCGGTGGGAATGACCTAGGTTCCCTTCTCTCAGTCTCTGGCTGGGGCTTTACCCATATCCCAGTTAGAAAAGGCCTCGGTCGGTCCGGGAGGCCCAACCATGCCAACAGGAAGACAGGGAGGCTGGGAAATTTCTCTCCCAGCACTTGCAGGGAGGTGCTGCATCAGCAGTTCTCCAGTTCTGCCAGAGGTGCTGGGGGAGGGGAGAGGTGTCCGTCCAGAGAACAGATGTGCAGGAGCCCGTGGGTTGCAGAGGGTGGGGTAGGGTGACAAAAGGCTTTCGGGTTCTTCATAGTCTTGATCTTTCCGTTACTGTAAAGTACCACAGCTCAGTCTTCTTGGAGAACCAAGCAACGAAGTGCGTCCTTTTTAAAGGCCCCTGCCTTGTGATGGGGGCAGAACTCAGAGCCTGTGTATACTTACAGGCCCTTTGCCACCGGGCCACTGCCTCCCCTGCCCACCACCGCCTCCCCTGCCCACCGCCTCCCCTGCCCACCACCTC